GGGAAGGGAATGAATTATATGCAACTTTTCTTTTTTCTTTCTCAAATTATTGTGTTATGAGTAAACCATGAAACTTATTTTGTTTTATTTTCTTTTCTAGGGCCCGGCCCGTGCTCTCCTGGCTGATCTAGCTGGTAACTTCTCATTTCTCTCTCTGTTCCCCTGTCCTACTATTGCAACGCTTGTATTGACTTTACACCTGAACTTATATTGGTTATTTTATTTTCTAGAGGTATTAGCTTTGATTTTGTTTCTCGATTTTACTCTAGGCCCTGATCAACGAAATACAGCAAATGCTGTGTTTTGCTTATGGATGGCTGTTGGTAACATCCTTGGATTCTCTGCAGGAGCTAGTGGAAAATGGCACAAGTGAGACTTCTTGATTTTTTCTTCTAATTTTTTATGTACCTTTAATTTAGTTGGAGATGCATGCGAGTATTATTGTTCATGCCAGATTTGAACCTCTTTCATCAATCATCATATCTTGCTCTTCATTTCTATGCTATCTAGATTCAACTTCAGCTTTTGCACGTCCCTAGTTTTTCTGTGTATGAATTAGTAATCCTTACATTTTCCATATACCATTTTCAACTAATTAATTTGCAATCCGTATTGGGTAGGTGGTTTCCCTTCTTGTTGAGTAGTGCTTGCTGTGAAGCTTGTGGAAATCTTAAGGCAGCGTTTCTTGTTGCAGTGGTGAGTTATTTTGCTAAGCATTGTTTATTCAAGATTTAAGTTGATAATGAATCCTTGCATGGTTTATGTTGTAGTGGTATACATACTTGTAGTCAAGGACAAGGAGTCACTGGCTTGGGTTCACAAAAGAAACTGGACATTGATTCTTTATTTTCTTAACTTGCTTGATTGCATGAAGATGTATGCATTAATTTGTGTTCGTTTTAAGAATAGTTGAAAATGTTTCGACTTGTGATTGAGGCCATTTAAAGTCCGAACTAATCTCTGAAATCTAAATACTAAGCTTTGTATTCGTGCAGGTCTTCCTGACTTTTTCTACACTTGTAACCTTATACTTTGCTGAAGAGGTTCCACAAACTTTCAAAGAGCCCCATCGTATATCAGATGCTGCTCCTTTGCTTGAGGATCAACAACTAAATGGTGTTGACCTTTCACAACTGAAATCTGATATGCCTGCCCTGCATGGTGCCAGTGGCAAGAATGCTACGGGTGGCCACGATGGGGATTTAAAGCACGTGACTTCAAAAGTTGAAGATGATCAGAGTAATGGCTTTAATATTGATGGCCCTGGAGCCGTTTTAGTCAATCTGTTGACCAGTCTAAGGCATTTGCCACCTGCAATGCATTCAGTGCTCATTGTTATGGCACTTAGTTGGGTGAGTGCTACTATGATCATGCATTAGTCTTTGTATTCTTTTTAACCTTTGTAATATTGAGGGTTGATTACTTCATTGAGCTTTTTTTTGCTTGAACTTGCCTTATATTCGGAATTGATGCTTTTACATGCAGTTATCCTGGTTTCCTTTCTTTCTTTTTGATACGGATTGGATGGGAAGAGAGGTTTATCATGGGGATCCAAAGGGGAGCTTGTCTGAAGTAGATGCTTACGATCAAGGTGTTAGAGAAGGTGCATTTGGTTTGCTATTGAATTCAGTAAGAACCCAAATTTGAGCACAAGTACTTTGAAAGTTTGTGAAAATTTGCGAACCCTTAGTCTAATAAATTAGACTTCATTCTTTCATAAGAAACAGACTATGTTTTACTTTTTGTTTCCGGGAAGGATTCAAATTTGTGTTAATATCCTGCTAACTATCCTTTTGGATCGAATTTCGGTGTCGATGTGCAGGTTGTTCTTGGAATCAGTTCTTTCCTTATTGAACCTATGTGTCAGCGGATGGGTGCAAGACTTGTGTGGGCATTGAGCAACTTTATCGTGTTTGCCTGCATGGCGGGAACTGCTATCATAAGTCTAATATCAGTTGGAGAATATTCTAATGGGATTCAACACGTAATAGGAGGGAACGAAAGTATTAAGACTGCTTCTCTTGTCGTTTTTGCCCTTCTTGGCTTTCCACTTGCTGTAAGATTTAATGCCCTTGTACTAAACAGAATTCTTTTGCATATGGCCTAGAAATTCGTGTTTGTTTACGTTATGTTTGTCTTTTGCAGATTACATATAGTGTTCCTTTTTCAGTGACAGCACAACTGACTGCAGATTCTGGTGGTGGCCAAGGTATGTAAGGCTTTTATATATGTTGATTCTAGCATCCACTTTTTCTCAGTCTTGCTGCTTTTCTGATTCTGACGTCTATATTATTATGCAGGGCTAGCTATAGGAGTTCTGAATCTTGCAATTGTTGTTCCACAGGTATTATTATGGATCTTTTTTTTTTCTCTCGGGGTTAACTTCATTCCCTGGATTTTCAAAGTTAAATCTTCTAGTATTGCTTTTACCAGGTTCTCTTTTTTGGTTGCAATGGTAATCTTGTGATAAACTGATTGCATGTCTGTGTTGGATTGTCTAGATGATTGTCTCTCTTGGTGCTGGGCCATGGGATGCACTATTTGGTGGGGGAAATTTACCCGCCTTTGTTTTGGCCTCCGTCTCCGCACTTGCGGCTGGTGTCATCGCAATTCGGAGGCTACCAAATCTATCCAGCAGCTCGTTCAGGTCATCTGGTTTTCATTTTGGCTAATCACTATTCTTAGTCCCGATTGTGCGTGCTTGTAATATCTCATATCAAAAGAATTATTGATCAACACGATTTCATTCATTCTTTTCTCACATCTCGTGTGTGGGGTATTGTAGCCTTTATAGATTGTAAAGTTTCATTCATAGCGAAAAGCAAATAGATTCATATAATTGACAAGAATAATGTTATTACCAAAGAAAGTACTTGCCTCGGCACTGTTTTAATATCTATTCGCACTATTCACTTTAAACCCAGTCAGCTTTCAGATTAGCATTGCATGTTTTCCCATATGGTCTGCAGTCATAGATGCAAAAATAACCTTTTTAAAAGGGAAAACCAACGTTTTATCTATGTCGCAAAAAAGAAAAAAAAAAAAAAAGAAAAAGAAAAGGAAGCAAAGTCTAATTTTGAAGCTGCTTTTCCTGGAAAGGTAACGCAAGATTTTTGATTGTGCACGTTGTTCCTCTCAAGTCACAAAGGCTTATATCATGAAACCGTGGACATTATTTTATTTTTTTCAACTTGCTCGTTGATGGCCCATAACTTTGCCTACTCGTTCGTACTTTGTAGCCTTGCTTTGTACCTTTGGATGTGGGACAAAGAGGAGTGGACCATGGGTGCGAATGTGAGATTCAAATCGCTTGATATAATTCATGTCTAGAATAGTGCCTAATCAATCAAATTGTTTCACATCATTTAAAAATTAAAATATCTCTTTAATTAATTTATCCTTATTTATCTATTAAATGACGTGTTATATTATCATTAGTAAGACATTAATTGATATATTAAAAATTAGACAGTAAATTTGAGTCCGTGAATATGACACGGATAGGTGGACCATAGTGGGTAGAGTACGTGAAGTACTTGCTCTCTCTGGACTTTTGAGCTTAAGATCAAATTAACTTAAAGTGTCAAGTTCTTTATGACAATTCTTCCTCTTATCTCAATGTTTCTTAATTCCTCCTCGTAGCTTCGGGTATCTCCTAATAGTTGCTCATGATACCGACCTAAGACACAGTCGAACATTAGAAGTAAGTTATGGTGGTTTATCATTGAACTAAGTTGAAGAAATAAAAAGATAAAAAGAAGTAGGGCATTTGTAACGCTTTAATCCTTAACCTTATTCTTTTATTTGGTAGTTTTTGGTCCTTAGCCATAAAACTGACAATAGAAAAAAAAAAAAAAGAAAAAAAAGAAAAAAAAAGCATTAAAGAAGTTCGAGTGTGGAACTTTATGGCTTTTCCAAATGATCCTAGACCAAGTAGCCTAAAATTGAAGTGAATTTCTTCAAAACAAAGTTCGAAAATTGTTGAGAGGATGAATTGCTTGGTAAGTGGTTGCTATAGTATTCAATATTGTTCAAACTATGATTTTCGACTCTAATTTAATATATTGTTGTTGCTTGGCAACTCAGACAGTGGCCAATGCAGTTCCTTTCTTAAGATATATCCTCTTACACTTCCCATAGACGCCACGGCAAGGAAATCCCAAACGGAAAAGAAACAAAATTGAAATTAGTTTTAATTAGGTTAAAGCATGGAATTGAAGAGGTCATATTAATAGATTCGTTACTTGGGTTTGTATCAGTCATTCAGTCGCGCGTACACATAACGACTGGAGATCTCACAGTATAATATTATCCATTTTGCCAATCAAATATTTGACCTATATGTTCATATATTCATATATATATATATATATATATATATGTAGGTATGTGTGTATATTATGTATGTATATATATTATATTTATATATAGAGAGAGAGAGAGAGAGAGAGAGGAGCAGATTTATCTTCTGTTTACTTGCATGAGTGTGCATGGACGATGAAGGTTTTGCTCTTAACTAGTACATATTCACTGATAATTATTTGGTAATTAGAAGTTGGCATTTGAACTGATCAACAAAGTATTTTCATAAAAATGTTTACATTTATAACCAAATTTGCTCCATTTGTTGCAATACAAAAAAAAAAAAAGAGCTTAAGATTAACATAAGAAAGTTCTCTACCGAATGGAGGATCAGCTTGACAAATAGTTTCAATACTCGGGCAGAGAAAAAATTGTATATTACGAATAGCAAACACAAAAGCAATTGGGGTTTCTTTACTTGTGCCAGCAGACAATAAAATAGATGTGGGTGACGTCTTCTATGTGGTGGGGGGTCAAATCTTAATTTATACTCCTTTTAAAACCTTTTTTTTTTTTCTTTCCTTTGATTTTTATTTTTATTTTTATATATTTCCCTTAACCTATCTCATGCACGCTCTTTTTAAGTGTTCTCTTAAAAATGTCAAACTGCAAAAAGGAAACTTTTTTAGTTTTCTTTTTCCCGGTTTCAGCTACCAAATATCCTGCAAGTTGGTACAAACCACAAAATAATAAAAACCTTGACTTGCATGCATGCCTTCCCATTTCTTTACAGTATTACAACCTTTATTACAAACTTTGAAAAGAATTCATATTAGTGAAAATTTCGAGGGAAACTAATCTTGTTTGTTAATTTCTTTTTTAAAATTAAATATATTGCCCTTTTCTGTTGTTTTCCTCTTAATTTTACACTATTACTATTATTAATATTAATATTTATTATTGTTGTCATTATTTGTTATTATTATCCATGTTCTGGCCAAGCCATGGGATGTCCTGCGAAATGGACGGTTTTCTGATGAAATGGGCCACATCGCAAGAGAAAGTTAAAAACATGGCCACGAGGTGAAGACTAAATAAAACGAAAACATTTCTGGACCAGTAGTTGACGAATCATTATCAATGCATATCTATCTCTCCTTCCCTCAAAACCAAAAGCAAATCCAATAAAAAAAAATAACTATTCAAAAGAAGGAAAAAAAATAAAAAATAATAATAATAAAAGAAGAAGAAGCAAAAAAAAAAAAAAAAAAAAAGTTTATAGAGAAGATTGAATGACGTCAACCCAAAGAGGGCACATGGGATCAGACTAAGATGAGCAGAGCAGGAGCACGAGGGGCATGCATATAGTGCAGAAGAAGATTCGGAAAAAAAAAAAAAAAAAAAAAAAAAGGAAAATTGATGTTTTTATTTATTTTTTTTAAATTATTCATTATTATTATTTTCAACATTTCTTTTCATTCCTCTTTTAATAAAAGAGAAAAGGAAGAAAATTTTTTTTTTTAAAAAAAGACGGAAAGAAATATGGGCAACAGAGGTGAAGGAACATGGATCCACCCCATTCCAATGGGGCACAACCACAACCCTCCTTGAGCTTCAGCTTCCAACTAATAAAGGCATGTGATGCAGTCAAGAGTCTCTTGTCTTTGCCCAATAGTAAAGCACTGTTTTTGTGTGGGACCCACCAAAAGTCCCATCATAACCAGTATGCAGATTAGTGGGTCCCTCCCCTTTACTCTTGCTCCTAGATATATCCCCAGTTTCTCAGAGTAAGGGCAGCTAATGATTTCTGCATCAAAAGACACACTTGACGACCTCCAATTGCACAGTTCCATATATAAGGGAATCTCCCAGTAGTAAAAATGGACCCTTTTTTTTTTTTTTTTAATTTTAAAATTTTAATTTATCCCCATAATATCTCTTCCCATGCAAGAACTGCTTAATTGATTATATAACACTAGAGCAGTGAAACATTTATTCATTGCTTTTGTTCTTTTGTGCACAATTAGCTTATATAAACCAAGTAGAGTAATATTGGTGAATGCTGGCCTTTTCCAATGCCTAAATCACAGCCTTTTTCTGAACATTCAAATCCTTGAGAGAGTGATAAGACAATTGTCATGGCCACTAAATGATAGACTAAGACTAAATTTTAGCCGTTTTGGGACCATGTGTTGAACACTTAAAATTCTTTTCATGGGTCCTCTGTGTCTGGTTTGTAACACAAGGATTCTTGGCCTAGAAACACCTATTACTATCCTTTCCCATCGATCACCTTGTTTGTACAGATAACGATAGCATACACATATATTTATACACACGCGCGCGCACACACACATATATATATATATATATATATACACACACATGGTAATTTTGTAGGAATACTCTAGGGCATTCCTTCGTGAGTATTTAATCTTA